CAACAAGAAGGAGAAAAAGTGAGTTCTTGCTGCCAAGATCAAGCAGATCAGAAGCACAGAAATCTCCTTACCACCTCAGACCACCAAGAGGTGACTGCAGAGCCCAGAGGAAGCAGGAACATCACCCTTACAGCCTCCTGGCCACTGGGACCTTCTGTCAAACAATGGCTACCCAGAGGTAAGGAAGGCCATGGTGGAATTATTGGCAGTAATATACAAACACTGCTGTATATACAAATATGGAGGCATTATGCTTTTAATGTTACATCAGTTATTCCTCAATAGATGTGTATATACATGCAGTATATGCACCCCAAAATACACCACTGGCATAGCGATTATTTTGAGCTGAAGGCAAAGGAGCAGAAGCAGATAACAAGGAACGTTCTCTGCCTTCCTCCTAGTGAGCTAAAAGCATGACATAAATTTGAGAAGGGGTTTCCCCTCCCCTCTCTGCCGGGAAGGACAGCCCAGAGAAGACACCAAAGGAATAGACACCATAACATTAACTCAGCAGCCCTTGTCTTCCATTAGCGCCCCCATACATTTGCCGTCCACAGTTTGCCACCCTAAGCAACTCAAAGTCCTTCTGCTGTGACTGACAGCTCCTCTGAAAATGTGTCATCCCTTTGTTGAGATGGTATAAGAGTCCAAGTTCTAATTTTTTTTAATGTTTTATTTATTTCTGAGAGAGAGAGAGAGACAGCATGAGCAGGGGAGGCTCAGAGAGAGAGGGAGACATAGAATCCGAAACAGGTTCCAGGCTCTGAGCTAGCTGTCAGCACAGAGCCTGATGCAGGGCTCGAACCCACGAGCCGTGAGATCATGAGTTGAACTGAAGTCAGACGTTTAACTGACTGAGCCACCCAGGCGCCCCAAGAGTCCAAGTTCTAATCACCCCTTTAGTTAAAAGGATGACTCATCGCTGGGTGCTCCCACGTGTTCGCACAGTGCCCATGCTAATAAACACCTGTTAGTTTTTCTTCTGTTAATATTTCAGTTATCAGTCTAATTCACAGGCGTCTAGCCAATCAACCTAAGGTGAGTGGAGGGACAAAGAATTTCTCCCCCACTACAGCTCTAAGAAAAAATGACAAGCCCACATCCTCAATCTTCTCACACTTAAAAGTGAGAAGTTGAACTTCCCTAACAGTTTTTTTTTAAATAGGTGCTTTGATTAAAAGTACACTAATTATGATGAGCACTGAATAATGTCTAGAATTATTGAATCACTATATTGTACACCTGAAACTAATGTAACAGTGCATGTTAAGTACACTGGAAGTAAACTGTTTTAAAAATGTGTAGGACCAGGCAGTGTAGGACTAGGGAATGGGGCCAGACTAGCTGGCTCTTGCCCTATTCGTATCCAGTGGTTCACATTCTTCAACCTTAGGAAACGCAGAGCAACTGGCACAAGGCAAAAGAGACTGGCATCTATGTGACAGGTGAGCATATTACATCTCCATACTTGAAGAATTACTCCAGAGCTCCTCAGCCTCTCTAAAATCAGAGGTAAAGAGTCTCACAGAGCGAATGCATCCAAACACCAGAGGATAAGACGAAGTTGGGGTTTTTTTCCCCATTCACCTGTAACTCCCACATGCAACTACAGTTCTTGCTTCCAGAAAACTAGCTAAGCCTTCTTCTCATCTAAAAGACCCAGTTCCAGAGGTGCCTGGATGGCTCCGTTGGTTGAGCATCCAACTTCAGCTATGGCCAATACCTCATGGTTTGTGAGTTCGAGTCCTGCGTCAGGCCCTGTATTGACAGCTCAGAGCCTGGAGCCTGCTTCAGATTCTGTGTCTCCCTCTCTCTGTCCCTCCCCTGCTCTCTCTCTCTCTCAAAAATAAGTACACATTAAGTTACATCCATTGCTCGAGCCAGATCGTTCTAGTTCTGGGCATGGAACAACACAGTGTTAGTCGAGGTATCTGGAGATATCTAGTATCTTCAAACACTTCAGCAGAATCGGTGCAGCTCTACCACCCAGTACTCTGGGATATCACTGCTCCATCAACTGGAAATTCGAAGTGTCTAAAGCCAGTAGTCCAACCAGAGTCCCTTCAGTGGAGCTCAGTGAGAGCAGCCTCACACTAGCTGAATACCTCCCAGGGTCAGAGCTGCTGGTGAGTGAGAAAGCAGAAAAAACACCTCTTTTCCAGAAACAGCATCCTCGATACAGAGACAGTATGAAAGATTTAACACTTACTCCTAGGACTGTGGGGGAGAAGAAGGGGAAAATAGTGGGGGAGAGGGAGGGAGGCAAACCATGAGAGACTCTTGAATGCTGAGAACAAACTGAGGGCTGATGGGGGTGGGGGAGAGGGGAAGGGCGGTGATGGGCACGGAGAGGGCACTTGTGGGGATGAGCACTGGGTGTTATATGGAAACCAACTTGACGATAAACTATTTTAAAAAAACACTTCTAATAGGAACCTGCTACTCAAGCTAATTTTACCACTGCCTTTACTGTCCTCAGTGGTGGCTACCTTTACCTTAAACAACAACAACAACAACAACCAAAAAACCAATGATATCAATGGGGAATTCTGCAAATTGAGAAACTATTTGCCAAAAGGGTGGGCAACCATCTTCTTTCTGAAAATGGCTTACTTCCCAGGTGCTCATGTGTGTCATACCGCGGATACTAGAGTTAGTGCACAAATGTGCAGTCCGATGGAAGGACCTAGAACCTATTTCCACGTGTGATATGGAGTTGGATGGCCATAACATCTATTTCAATACTACCTTAGACTAGCTTTGATTCAGTATTAGTTATAAGCTTTGAACAATTACCTATGAGCTTCTAGGTATGTTAGGGAGTTATAGAGGTGCGTATATATGTGTGTGTTTACACCTGTACTTTTGAATTTATCTTTAAACATCATAGTAAATTCCAAGTTGCTTTGTCCTCCATATATCTGAAGGGGTTCAGGGTAAGTCTCCCAGATATGCCTCCACTTTGGCATGCAAAGTCTTTTTTTTTTTTTTTTTAATGTTTATTTGTTTTTGAGAGAGAGAGAGACAGAATGCAAGCAGGGGAGGGTCAGAGAGAGAGGGAGGCACAGAACCGAAGCAGGTTCCAGGTTCTGAGCTGTCAGCACAGAGCCTGATGTGGGACTCGAACTCACCTGAGATCGTGACCATAGCTGAAGTCGGACACTTAACCGACTGTGCCAAGGCGCCTGGGTGAAGTGAAGTCTTGGCATGTGAAGTCTTATTTTGAGTTAGAGACAATCAAGATCCAGTAAGCTCAAGGGAACTGTTGGCCCTTCCCTTAACTGCCAAGAAGAGTTTTGATGGAAGGTGTCTCCCATAATGAGGGTTTTGATCAGAGGTAAGTTTTATCTGAGTGACCTTTTGTATGGCAGGGCACGCGTCTAATTGTCAAACATGTCTTCTTCTTGCCCTTGAATTTGCCTCCTCTCCATTGAATCCTGGGCCCTTATTCCATGCCTTAGCTCAGGATGGCGTGTGTGCCTCATTTTACCTTTGCCTTTGAACTCTCATAGATGTAGTGTTCCCATACATACAAAATTAAATTTGATTTTTCTCCTGTAATCTGTCTGCTGTCAGTTTAGTTCTAAGACCAACCAGAAGAAATTTTGCCAAGGAAAAAATTTTTCCCCAACAATACTTATAAATAATTCATCATATCTTGCCCTGACTCAACTACCTGCCAAATCAACACCCAATAAACAAACAATTTGCACTGTGCAGGGAGATTTTTTTTTTTTTAATGTACTTTCTCTTGGAACCAAGATTACAACCTGACTGCTCAAAGTGTGGTCCTCGGACCAACCATATAAGCATCAAGGAATTGAAATGCATAATCTTCAGCCCCACCCAAACCTCCAGAACAAAAAATCTGCATTTGAACCAGAGCTCCGGTGAGCTGTACTCACATTAAAATTTGAAAAGCACTAGCCTAGAGAAGTGTTTCTGCCCAGGGAGGTAAATTGATCCCCTCCCTGAGAATCATCTAGGATGCTCCCCGAAAAAGTAAGTTTCTCCACTCTGCCACAGTGAATGAAGCAAACTGTCTTGGCCTTGCCTTTTAAACAAGTTCCTCTCTTTTCGGTTTCTCAAACTTTAGATTGCCTAAATCTAAAGTTTAAACAAATCGAAGAGTACATTTGCTATAAACACACACACACACACACACACACACACACCAGGCATTGAAAATAACTGCAAAGGCAGAGAAACTGCCTTTAATAGGAGAAGAATCACCCAAGAAAGTTCTGTTGAGCATTTTGTAATGAAATGCAGGACAACCGGTTAATTGTGTTAGAGAGGAAAGGGAGTTAGTTGTGAATCACATCATCACGCCGTCTGTAATTGTTGTTCATACATTACTTGTACTCCTTTGAAACATTACTTAAAAATGTGTTTGATTCTAATAGGTTCCTTTCAATACAGGAGAAAGAAACCATTTTGGGGTCCATCAGATGTGAAAAGAAAAAACTCAAAGTATCAAAAAAATATATCTGCATTTGTCCCGCTTCCATACAGGGATAATCTTTACTTCTAATTGCTGGTAGTGAATTTCTTTTCAAATACCAAGCTGAAAGTAGTCACTCTGTCCCTGCTTTTCCACAGAAGAGCCGGTCTACTTTAGTGTGTTTAGAAAATCCAGTTGAGCACAATTTTCACTTTTCTTCTGGATGTTTGACATCGGAAAACAGAATTCCATTAATTCCATTTTCCTAAGTCCCCGAGAGATCTACATTACCCTCGCAAACATCATCTAGATGTTGGGACATATACATCGTACTGCCCTCTACCTAGCTAGAGTTTTAGAATCGCAAAATGGTTTACCTTATAATATTAAGTATATTAAAAAGATTAACACACAGGACTTCATTTTGACTTAACACTCTCACAGAAAGCTAAACAGAAGAAAAGGAGACATTTTATGAACAGGAAATTACATTTGGGAAGCAAGAGCGATTTTGAACACCTTTGGGTACCTTACTTCCAGCAAGTTTGCATACCTCGGAGTATAGGATTCCCATCCTGGCCCTTCACAGATTTGCGTCACCCTTACAGCTTCTTGAATCTTCTAGAGGTATTTCTGATTAACATAAAATCCTTCCGAGCCCAGAGAGAGATCTCTAGAAGCCAAGGCTGGTGGCAAGTCCTTTCTTCCCACACCTGTGAATATTCTTCCAGCAATTCAGTCAGCAACACACCTTCTAAATAACCCAGCCCTGCTAGACACAGGCATTGGTTTACAGCATAGTGACCTCAGTGTGTATCATCTAATGTTACAACCCTGAGGAACCGGTTTCTGAGTCATATTTGCTCTGCCAGCACTGACATGTGGGAAGACTGAGCAAAGTCAAGGGAAAGGGAAGTTCTCATGCCGACAGGAAGAACTCAGGGCTCAAAATGGGGTACTGTGAAAAAAAAATAGGATACTGTGTTTAAGACACCATCTAACCGAAATCTGTTTTTTGTGGCTATTGAGAAAGGCTAGGGATGGCCAAACTCACTTGTTTGAACATGTATGTCTGCCATGGGCTTGAGTTTCATGAAAAATAATCTTCAAAACTGTCACTATGGATTATTTGCAATCTTCAAGCACAGATAAGGTTATTTGTTTTTTCTTGATGTTCCTGATTAACATAAAGCAATTAAAGTAATAAGTGATAGATGAAGGTCAATTTTTAAGCTGTATTATTTTATATACACTTTCAAGGGCATCCTTGAGTAAAGCCTAAGCAACTCAAATTGAAAAAACTAACCTCTTTGAAGAATCAGTCCCATTTATATCCTAGTTAATTGAATTATCTCAAATGTTTAAACTACACTTACAGTAGTACTATATATAGTTTTAATGTTTATTTATTTTTGAGAGACAGAGCGTGAGTGGGGGAGGGGCAGAGAGGGAGTGAGACACAGAATCTAAAGCAGGCTCCAGGCTCTGAGCTGTCAGCAGAGCTTGACACGGGGCTTGAACCCACAAACCATGAGATCATGACCTGAGCCGAAGTTGGACACTTAACAAATGAGCCACCAAGGAGGCCCAGTGTTACTATACTTAATTTTCTTTTATAAACACTTCAATTCTGAACCTAGCAATTAATACTCTCCCAGCTAAGTGGTCTTATAAATGTAATAAACTTACTATCATAATAAGTATTAACTTGTCTTAAATATTCTAATACTGTTTATAAGTTCAGCCAAATATTTTATTATATTCAACAATTTTAAAATTGTAAGTCTAAAATCCATTGCCCTATTACATATTTTATTTTAAATTTTTTAAGTTTATTTATTGCGAGAGAGAGAGAGAAAATGAGTAGGGGAGGGGCAGAGAGAGAGAGAGAGAGAGGGAGAGAGAGAGAATCCCAAGTAGGCTCCGTGCTGTCAGCATAGAGTCTTACGTGGGGTTCGATCTCATGAACCGTGAGATCAGGACCTGAGCCGAAATCACGACTCAGATGCTCAAACAACTGAACCACCCAAGCCCCCAGCCTGTTACATATCTTAAATGGAATCACCAGGCCACTTGGTCAAACATTCTAATATGGCAAATCTCTTTAACATTATAAACAGTTTGTATACTAAATATCGTACCAAATATTCACACACTGTCACTAAACACAATCATAGCAAAGTGTGAAAATCTCCCAGAACTAGAACACTCACACACACCTTCAGCCATCCCAAGCAAATGGTTGGGATTCCTCCGATCACTGAAGTTTCTTCAGTGGCCACAAATAGGGCCAGGATGCAAGACCTACGCCCACATATATTCAGGGAACTTCTTCCTACACCACTGATGGACATAGGAGCTATTTTTGTACGTGTTATAACAAGAATTACATACTTTACCTTGGACTTGGCTTTAGGACCAATCTCCTGGGAGTTTGAGAATTAGCCCATTCTATGGGCTCCTGGCTGACTCAGTCCATAGAGCATGTGACTCTTAATCTGGAGATTACAAATTCCATCCTCACGTTGGGTGTAGAGAGTGCTTAAAAGTAAAATATTTTTCTTAAAAACAAAAGAATTAACTAATTTTCCTGTTGAAGGTGGAAGTCTGCAATGTCCACTAAAATCGCAGTGGACTTCCCTTTTGGCTTGGTTTCATTTTGCATTTCTTAAACTTCTTAAGACCTTTAGGTGCCTTTCCCTTTGATGTAAACGTTAATGTTATTTCTGCTGGGTACTTTGCGCTCTTACGCAAATCTTCTGCAATTCCTTTTAGCTTCTTTTGTAACTTCTTTTAACTAACTGGTGTGGACAGACCTCTTCACTGTCACTACCTCTCCGCTAGCTTCCTTCTCCATGCTTCTTCCTCCCTGACTGATCTCAAGAGGTTTCTTTAATTCACTATCTGAACCCAAACTCATCTGACGGGATTCCACATCTCTCTCTGGACTGCATCTTGAAGGAGAGCAGAATATGTCACCCTAAAACACGTGGCTTTGGCATAAGGATTTTCAACTTGGTTGTTTTTGAAAGTCTGCACACACAGGAGAATCTCTGAAAACAGAGTAGAAGCTACCTTTCTGTAAAGGACACTTACCCTTAGCAAAGAAATCTCTTTCCCTCAGGAAGAGAAGACTGACTCTAAATCTCTTTTGGGGATTAATTCTCCAATTAATGGAGAAGACAATGACTTAAGTCTGGGGATTAATTCTCCAATTAATGGAGAAGACAATGACTTAAGTCTGAAGGACAACTGAGGCTGTTTACTGTGCTTTTACTAGTAGCATCCCATACCTTTTCCCACCCCCAAACATCTTTTTTCTTTAGCAGGAGATGGTATTTAAGGCATTGGCTTGGGCCACTTCAAGGGGTTTTACTCAGTCTTCCTGGGTCTCCCATATGTATACATGAGGTACACATGTTATTAAACTTCAGTCTGTGTTTCTCTAATTAATTCATCTTTTCTTTTATTTTTAAATGTTTTATTTATTTCTGAGAGAGAGAGAGAGACAGCATGAGCAAGGGAGGGTCAGAGAGAGAGGGAGGTACAGAATCTAAAGCAGGCTCTAGGGTCTGAGCTAACTGTCAGCACAGAGCCCGACATGGGGCTCAAACCCATGAACCGTGAGATCATGATCTGAGCCGAAGTCAGATGCTTAACTGACTGAGCCACCCAGGCACTCCTTAATCCATCATTTCTTATGCAGGGTTCTCAGCCACAGAACCTAGAAGGGTAGAGGAATGATTCTTTTTCCTCCCCTACAGTCTGGTTCTAAAGGCACAATACTCGTTATAATTATGGAAGACTGACTGCCTCCTTGTAGGGTTGCCTCTTAAAAACAAGTCAATAAAAAAGCAATTGACTCATTGCCATTGGTAAAAACACTCTAGGCCAGTGAATGTCAACCAGCGATGATTTGGACCCCAGATAGGACTGCCAGATTTAGCAAATAAAAATACAGGATGTTTAAGGATGCCTGGGTGGCTCAGTTGGTTAAGTTGTCAACTTAAGCTCAGATCATGATCTCACGATTCGTGAGTTCGAGCCCCGCATCAGGCTCTGTGCTGACAGCTCAGAGCCTAGAGCCTGCTTCTCCTTGCTCTCTCTCTCACTCTCTCTCTCAAAAATAAATAAACATTAAAAAATTTTTAAAAATACAGGATGTGTAGGTAAATTTGAATTTTAGATAAATTTCTGAAATACTGCATGGGGCATGCTTATACCAAACAATTATGTTGTTTAACTGAAAATTAAAGACATTTGACAATGTCTGAAGATATTTTTGGTTGTCACCACCAGGAGTGGGGGTGAGCTACTGGCATCCAGAGGGTAGAAAGCCAGGCTGTTACACATATTCCAGTGCACAGAACGACATGTCACAGCCAAGAATCATCCTGTTCAACACAGGGCAAAGGTAGAGAAAACCTCATCGAGGCCAATGGGAAAATTAAGTGTAAAAGAAGGGGATGTGATGAATTACAGTGTTGGAATGGAACACAGTTGCAGAGAGGGGAAAAATCTTTTTCCTTCTTCCCTTCAAGGTTCTTGGTTGGGGCTCTCTAACAAAAGACAGAATAACAAGAGAAAAATGAAGAGAAGTTTGTTAGCCCGTGTATCTCATATATGTGTGGGAGAAACTCAGCAATGTGTAAATCAAAGAAGTGGTTAGAATTTAGGGTTATATACCATCTTAGGCTGCCAGAAAAGAGGATCTGGGGAGGGGATGAAAGGAAAGGGGAAGTGAGTTATGGATGGGAAAGTACTGTAAACAAGGGATGTTTAGTAAGGTTTGTTAGGCAGATTTAAGTCAGTGTCTTCTCTACCAGTATGAGTTAAGAGTGCACTACAAATTGCCATTTCCTTTATAGATGTAAATTTCCTTTATAAAAGGAAAGCCTGTGCTCTGTCTTTCAAGCTTTTCTTGCACCTACTGGTTCTCAAAAGCCATTAGCTCAGAATAACCCATATGCCAAAGGAGCATATTTTAGGGTGTCATATTCTGGTACTTCTAATGGTGACACACTGTCATAATGGATAACTTTATCCATAATGAATATTTTTTTAATTAAAAAAAATTTTAAGTAGGCTTCACGCCCAGCACGGAACCCAATGCAGGGCTTGAACTCACAACCCTAGACCCTGAGATCAAGACCTGAGCTGAGACCAAGAGTCAGATGTTCAACCAACTGAGCCAATCAGCCACCCCAAATGGATGCTTTTTAAAGAAGTATGGAGGTTCAGTGTTTACCCCCTGGCAAACTGAGTCTCTAATTACAAAAAAAGGGGAAAAGAAAAGGAAGGTCTAAGAGACAATGTTCACACATGAATGTCTTCTGTCAAGAAGTAATGTTTGAATCACACAGTGCAGGCTTTGATACTGGTTGTAGTGGTAGCCAACCTTCGGCGGCCAGCCTGATCGCCTGTGTAGAAAGAGAGGGTCCCTTCTACAAGGTGGAAACGCAAAGAATGGCCCTCAGGAGAGGTTCAGGAGCCCATAACTAGAGAACGTGGTCCACATCTCAAAGTTATCTAAGATCTTGACCCCTTGCCATTGTCTACCAGCTTCCACTGAAGAGATGTAAGTAAAGGAGTTAGAATTTTATTTATAATAAAAGAAAACAATAACTCCATCATGCTGACCATTGCAAATGGCAATTCCTCAAAGTGGATTTGAGGCAGACAAGAGGGAAAACAGCAAGATGAGTTAGGAAGCCACTGCGTGAGACATAATAGGACCGCAGGCAGGAGAGCAGCAGTGGGGGTGGAGAGGAGGAAATCCAAAGGACGTAGAAACGGGCTTTTTGCTGAAAATCCGTTGGCAGGCTATGTTGAAAGAATTTCTAT